GCGGCGGCGGCTCCCGGCCGCCATGAGCAGGAAGCGGGTGAAGTTATTGGTGGACTCGCTGACCCGATCCTCCAAGCACTGTGAGTCTCCCCCGGGCTGCAGGAGCCGCTGCCGCCCGGCCGCCCCCCGTCGTTCCGTGCTCATCCTCTGTGGCCCTGTTCGCTTCCCAGGAGAGGCACTCTCCCGGCGCCCCTGTGGGAACAGCGGGTGGGGCGGGGGGGAACATGGGTGTCACGGCCCCGGCGTGTCCCTGGGCCTGACTCCTGTTTTACCAGCTTAATTTACAACCTGCGTTTGCTTGTGTTTGGGCCGGGCAGTTAACAAAAGCGAAGTGGAATGTCTGGTGAACCTCTTTGACACGCTGGTGGCCAAGGCCAGCAGCCACTTTGCGGGGGCCGGGTTCGACCGCACCGTGTTCCGAGACACCCTGCACAGCGCCTTTGGCCTGACGGATGAAGTGATGCTGGACCGAGGTGAGGCGGGCGCACAGCTCCCAGCACCGTGGAAGGGGTTGGGATGACCGACGAGTGTGTCCGTACCAAACGGCGCCGTCTCGTCCCGGCCAGGATGGCAAAGGAGGAGTAATGCCCGGGAGCTGTTGAGAAAATGGCATCTTTTCTTTAAGCGGTACAGCTTTCCCTTAGTTCAGGAGAGCTCACGCTCTGGTTGGAGGCAGACCAGCCAGAGGCAGTCGTGCTGCCCTGCGGCCGATTCTGTCGCAGCCGCTGGAGTGTCATGACAAGAGGGCGGATCGCCTTCCTCTTTTATCCGGTGGTTCCGCCGGGAGCTGCGGTCGCTGCTGGGTGACAGCTCTGGCTCAGGCCGGGAAGTCGCAGGAAGGCATTCCGTCACGGCGGGTAACTTCGGGAATAGAGGCTTTGTGAACAGCATTGAAGGGCCTGGGCAGATAGTGCAAGGAAGTGAGAGAAATGAGCCAAATAACCCCTTGGAAATAGTGATACCTGTACCAAGGTACATATTTACAGTCATTGTGAAAGTTGAATGAATGATCTTTGACATAGAGGTGTCTAGAGGAGTTTGTGGAGCAGGCTTGAGTCTGCCGTTCTTTCAGTCCTGGGCTACCAAGAGCCACCCTTGGTTCAACTTTCTCCATGTCTCTAGCAGGAGAACCACTTACATGCCATAAAATAAAAACTTGTTGCAATTTTATGCAGCAAGTCAAGTGTATCTTGGAATCACATTACCTTACACATTCATAAAAATTATTTTAATGCTTACATGTAAAGGGGCTGATTTCAGTTTGCAAAAGCAAACCTGTTGTCTTCTAACTCAAAAATGCTTGGCTCTTCATGGAGAGGTGTTCCTTCAGCCAATTAACTAATTAATATTCTAAAATACAAATCATTATAGATGTTAGTGGATGCTTTGATTTCAACCTTGGATTTGAATTACTATATTACAGGCTATATGAATAGTGAAGCCATGAGACTGAAGGGTGCTTAGGGAAGGGAAAAGAAAAATATTTTGTTTCATGACAGACAGGAGGTTATTTTATTTTGTATATTTAATATATATTTTTTCTAGGATTACTTTATCCAGGGTTTTCTGAGAGAAAATTTAGTAATTTAAATCTTAATCTGTATGTGGAATTATCCCTTACTTTAAGGGATAGTGGTTTATTTGCTTTACATCTGCATGGGCGCATACTTCCTGTAGTGATTTAAGCCAGGAAGGCAACAGATCAAACAAAACCTTACCAGGCAGGATTCTGGAGTGAAGATCAGTAAACTGAGGGGCTAAATCCCTTTCATTGTTAAATTTTAGAGTCAAGAATGGTAATCTTACCTTGGTGAAAGCAGACAAACATCTGAAGAAGAAATACAATTTATAATTTTACTGAATTTAAGAAAACATTATTTTTTTGTGTTTCCCTATCATATAAATTTGTGTCTAATACACTTCCCAGTGTTCAGTGCTTTTGATAGAAGCAACACTGGCAGCATCACTGTGGTGGAATGGGTGGAAGGCTTAGGAGTGTTACTTCGGGGGACACTGGAAGAGAAGATGAAATGTAAGATTGATCTGTATGCTAATATTTGGTAGTATTGAATTAATAACACATTGATTTTGTTATAATTTAGTAGTTACTCTTATGAAGTATTTGGTAATTGAAAAGTTTTCTTTTGTATGGTTTAATGCAATGAAACTGAATTCTGAAATGGCTTCGAGACAGAGGTGGGTTTTTTTTTCTGTGTAAACTGCTGTTACCACAGGCACCACCTTATTTTGTTGCTTACAAAATCTTGCATCTAAACTGAAGTTTATTCTACAGCATACACTTTTTACAGAATACGTGTTTCTGTATTCAGACACAAAATTAGAAAGAAGCAGATGAATCTCTAGCGTTAGTCTTGGCTAATTAACAGTCTCAAGCCAAGCAAGACCAGTGCCAACATTCATTTACTAGCACAGTGGGGACACAGTAGCAGTTGCATTAGCTCCAGCAGTTCTTCAGCTTGGAAGCAGAAATGGAGAAAATATAAGATGGTAATGAGAACCTCCATAATAATGATAAAGATGGAGGAGAAAACATAGCAAGAACTCTAGAATTTTAAGCAGCAGGGAAGAAAACAGAGCATGTGGGGTGAAAAAAACCACAATAGAGAAAGGAGAATGACAACATGTTGTTTTCGTAGTTCCCAGGTTGCAGCATTAGCCATCCCTACTGCATTATATAAATTCATCTGGGAAGTGGTCAGGGGTGGTACAGCATTAGAATGTGTGTCCAGGATGTAATTCAGTGTGTCAGTACAACCACAAACAGTAAAATACACATTCCTGCTCTAAGGACTATAGAAGATACTAGTGTGTAGTGATGCAGTGTTGTTTGTCACAAGTGTTTGCCAGGAGTGTTTCAGCACATACATGATAAATTGGGCTCAATTGATAATGCTGTACAATGTACAGTTGACATTTTCTGTCTGTAGGTAAAAACTTGAATGCTATGTGATTATTGAGGGAGTTAAGGACTTGGTAGAGATAGCACTGAAGAAAATGGCAAGTACTTACTTTGTGTGATATTGAGGGTCTTTCAAACATTCACTAACCGATACTTAAAACCTTTCTATGAGGTAACAAAATAAGATGTCTTATTTACAGTGGAATTCTGCAAGTCTCCTGAGGAAAGCCAGAAATATAATCCAGATTTAATGAGTCCCAGTCCAGTATTCTCATATGAAACTATTAATTTAGTATGTGAATGTACTACAAACTTTATGTATAAACTAGCATGTGTATACGTGCATACACATTTGTGCATGCCCAGTCAAAGCAAAACTCCAGTCAGAAGTGGAAAACTCAAAAGTGTAAGCTGCATTTATTCCAACAGTACAGGTATCTGCAGTCACTTAATTTTTAAGTACATTTGTGTTTTATCAACTGATCATGAAATGTCTTTATCCAGTTTATGTATTCTATTAGAATACTAAACTCAAGGTGTGTTAGAATTTAAGAAAAAAGGTGGAAAGCACTTACTGTGAAGTTTGTCTCACAGTGCTTAATCCAGAATATCAGCTGGGGACTGTCTGTCAATATTTTAATCAAATCAAGATACATACTCTCCCCTTCCATGGCAGTGGACAAAAATTTTCACTTAAAACCAGATCCTTCGTTCCAACCCCTTTTATTCAAGCCCATCTTTTCAATTTTTCAATCCCACCCTTTTTGCCTTAGGTAAAGGCAAGTCACACAAATCTTTTCTGAGCAGAGACTAATGACCTCCAATTTGCAAATCAAACTAAAAATAGAATCTGTGTTCTTTAAACACCTTTTAAACAAAACTACAATACAATAATTCTTTCCTGAAGTGTTCCTTTCCTTTTGCAGGACTATGATCATGATGGCAAGCTTTCTTTTACGGACTTTGAAAAAGCAGTCAGAGAAGAAAGCCTTCTCTTGGAAGCCTTTGGACCATGTTTGCCAGACATAAAGGTACATTAACCTTGCGTTAAAAAATGCACAAGCCAATTCCTTACAGACACTTGCACCAATCCTGTCAATGTCAGCATGGAGCATCTTAGGCCACTGTTGGGTTCATCCTCTCAGTGCCGGTTCTGCTACCCAAAGGTGGCCCCTGAGCACTCCCACTCCAGGGTTGTCGCAACAGAATGCTGCAGATATTAATCTCATCACTAAGGGAAATTTCAGTCCTTGACATTGTCATTCCAGTCTCTAACATTCCTATTTCCATCTAGTTTATCTCATTCTGCAGCTGGGCCTTCTTGTCCTCATGCCACATCATTCCTTGGTGACGCACTCCTACTGCTGAGCAGTTAAATAATTTCCCCTTCAACTGTAACTTTGAATGTTCTGGCTGATCTGCCAGTGATGACACTGTTAATGCTATGGATTTACCTTTCCTAAGCTAAAAAGCAGGAGACAGTCTTCACTGCATACACATTTCAGTTCAGTACCTTTCAGTGCAATACCTTTCTGAGTAAATAAAAATCCTGTAGTTAACTGAAAATTAACTTCTTCTTTTTTTTCTTTTTTTAAACAGAGCATTATCGCATTTGAACAGAAAGTTTTCCGGGAAACTCCTAAATAAGAACTCCAAGTTGTAACTCCATTGCTGAGTACTGTTAAAAGGGGTCTTTGTCTTCACCATTCTTCGTGATACAGTAAAAACAGTAATAATTTCAACTTGCTCCTAAGCTTCAGTAGTCCTTTGTGTTACAGCTATTGAATAAATTAATTTACTTTTGTAAGTCTACCTAAATAGAGTTCTTCCCTAAGTTATAAAATATGTTGCAATATGAGGTACACAGGACAACACTGCAACAATAATACAGTATATTGGTTTCTTCATTCCAAGTAACAAACTGATACAATTTTTAACAGGGAATCACTGGCAAATACAATACAAAGAAAGTTTTATTTTTTTTACATAAAAAAATAAAGTATTTTAAACTATATTATTTACAAAAGGACTGTTGGAAGATGCTGCCAGCGGTATCTATATTCTTCTTCTCTGCTTTACAAGTGGTTTGGCTGAGCTGCTCTCTGGCTTTTCCACAGACCTTGAAACAGAATCTGCTACCTAAATTGGAGGGGAAAAAAAATTTAGTAACCTGTAACTGCACTTTTTTTATGCTCATTTTAGAGTAAGACCACATCTCCAAGATTTGAGTATTGGGAAGGATTTATTACTAACATCACACTTGTATTGAATTTTCCTGCTGACTAGAGGAAAAAAGTAAAAGCAAAGGCAGCATTAAACACAAGAGAGGTGAAACTTGGAAGACTTAGCACTACCATCTTTGTATTTAACTACACAAACTGATTTCAGATAATCAGTGATAGAGTGTCATCTCCCTTCTTCCTAACAGAGGTGTTTTCAAGCAAGGTTTAATGTACTTTATAAACTCAGGTATTTCAGGAAACAAAGGGAAAGCAGAAACATGTATTGTGATGTATTTAAGAAATGTATTTAATATAAAGGGCGCTTATTTATAAAATACACACTTTCAAATCATTCTAGTTAGTCAAGGGAGCTTTTTCATATCTTAGTGTAAATGAAATGTTATATCAAGGAATGTTTGACCTGCTAATTGATTAATATCCTTCATAAAAGGTTATGTAGCTTAACACATGCTTTTCAGCATGGAATTACTGATTCTGTACAGCTTTTAATGGCATAAGAAATGGTGGAGCGAAATTACATTGAACTCTGACTTCCATTATTTTCTTTTCAGAAACTAGATACAAGTAGCACACTGGAGTCAGCAGGACTACCTCCAAATTTATCATGCCTTCACGTGTGGGGAAAAAAAAGTGTTTTACTAAAAATCATGTATGATCATGCACTGACATTTACACTTTCTCAAGTGTAGTGTAAAAGGTCTGCCATAGAATTGGCCTGCAATATTCTAGATTGTGGAAAAGTTAAATAGTAAGAGCACTAGCTTTAAGTGGCAGATAAACTGATAATAAATGCTGAATAAAGCTATCAGAGAATCACTATTTTAATGGATAACAAGCACCTATGCTTGAACTATCAGAACTTTAAGAACCCATACCTCTTTCAGTTTATTTCGAATTAATGTAGCTGAAGTATTCAAAGACTCATCATCCATATCCACTTTAGGTATTTCTGGTAGTTGTGGACCAATAATAACTTCAGTATTGTCCTCACTTGTTCCAATGAGGGAAAACTTGTTACCTTCTTCTCTCTTCCTCTTACGTTCTTGCAGGTGAGTTGTACGAGGCATAAACCTGTCAATTCCATTGTAAGCTGGAACCATTCTTTGCCGCATTAAGGAAGCTGTTGGAGTATGTCCTCCTGGATGTACACTTGGAGTTAAAGATGTGTTGTGACCAAAGTACCCAGAACTTCCAGCACAATTGTTATCGTAGTGTGGAGATGTTAACAGGCTCTGATTCTGATTCCCAGATGGGTATGTTGTGTTGTGGGATACCCCAGGAGAACTTGTAAAGCAGGATGGATCCCAGTTACTGGCTACACGTGATCCCGATGTACTCCAAGGACTGTCGTGCTCAGAGCTCTTTGAGGCTGTCTTCTTAGGGCCTTCTACTTTCTTTAACACAAAGCAATCTTTAAAACAACAACAAAGAAGCATCTTCACTATTTCATGTCATTATTAGTTTTAACACCCAAGAACAAAACTTTTGATATAAATGCAGAAACAATACCAGTGATATTTGATTCCCAGCTACCTTTCTGTGATATTTTTTAAGCTTCAAATATAACAAATTCAACTTTCAAACCAGTTTTCCAATCTAGTGCCTTTGCTGGCTTGTAACATTGAAAAAACCCAGATGTTTTGATGTTAAAAATCAGTGGGTTTACTCCCTTTAGCAATCCTCATGCAATGAATAACGATATCTAAGTATCTGAGCACAGGGAAGAAGCTTATGCTCAGCAATTTTCATATTCATCAGCTTGCCCAGCCTTCAATGCTGCCTGGGAAATTTGTGGTAGGGGAGCCTTTGTAAACACAGTCCATTCTTAACATTCCCTCAGTGCAAAGATGTGGGCTGGAGAAATTTTTTTGAAGGTTCTGGTATAAGTCATCTTCCTTCCAAAACTCACTTTGGCATGCCTAGGAGGCTGGAACAAGGGTGAAAGTGTGATTCCAAGTTTCCTGCCAGTGCTTTAAATTTCTGGTAACACTTTGAAAGAACACAAAAAGTGAAGGAAATACTTAATAATTAAAGCTTAAGCATTTCACTACTTTAGTCTTAATCAAAGCCAAAAAAATTACTTTGAAAAGGATATAGTTCTCTAAATACTGAGAGATGTCTCCCTGTAAAGATACTTAAAATGCCTCTGTATTGGGTTTGAATGGCCTGGTTTTTTGTAGCGGGGGGCTACAGGGGTGGCTTCTGTGAGAAGCTGCCAGAATCTTCCTCAGTGCTGGCAGAGCCAATTCCTGGTGGCTCCAAAGATGGATGTGCTGCTGGCCAAGGCTGGGCCGATTAGAAATGGTGGTGATGCCTCAGTGGTAACAGATTTAAGAAGAAAGATAAAATAAGTGTTTGTGCAGTTGTAACTATGGCCAGAGCAGAGCCAGAACATGAGAGGAACAGCCCTGTAGACACCCAGGTCAGTGCAGATGGAGGGGCAGGAGGCACTCCACGTGCCATAGCTGAGATTCCCCTGCAGGCTGTGGTGCAGCCCATGGTGCAGCAGCTGTGCCTCTGCAGTCCATGGAGGGCCTGGGGGATGCAGGGATCCACCCACAGCCCATGGAGGAGCCCCACACCAGAGCACGTGGATGCCTGGGAGGAGGCTGTGATCCTGTGGGAGACCCATGGAGAGAGGGGCCCTGCTCTCAGGCTGGAGCAGCCTGTCCTTGAAGGACTGCACCCGTGGAGGAGTGACCCACGCTGCAGCAGTCTGGGGAGGACTGTTCCCCACGGGATGGACTCACCTTGCAGCAGGTCACAGGGAGCTGTAGCTCATGAGATGAGCTCACGTTGGAGAGGTTCACATGGAACTGTCTCTGTGTCACCCCACGGTGCAGCAGGGGAATGACTCCTCTCCCAGAGCAGCGGGAGAAGCCACGGGTGAGGAACTGACCATAACCCCCATTCCCTATCCCCCTGCACTGCTGGGGTCGGGCTAGAGCTGGAAGGAGGGAGGGGTGGGGGGAACGTATTTATAAGGGCTTATTTTACTTCTCATTATCCTGCTCTGATTTTGTTAGTAATAAATTCACTTTATGTCTCTTAAGTTGAGCTTGTTTTGCCCTCAATGGTATTTGATGATGAATGATCTCTCCTGGTCCTTATCTCAACCCATGAACCGTTCGTTAAATTTTCTCCCCTCTATCTAGTTTGTGGAGGGCAGTGAGTGAGCAGCTTTGGTGAGTGCCTGGCATCTGGCCAGCATAAACACACTATAGCACCTTTAAAAGAGGTAGGTAAAAAGTGTTTTCTTTAATGGGCACTTCAGGCAAAACCCCACCCAGCCGTGAAGAACATTAAAATTTTACAGGAAATTTAATCAGGATTCTAAAGGAAATTTTATCACAAACCTCTTTGATTTGTTGCTTTTGCTATATACTTTCTTCTATCCTGCAACTTCTCTCTAGTTTCTTGGACTGTTTCAAATTCTGGAGCATAGCATACATGCAGCAAACTACCAAAGAAACTTCGTTCATCCATTTTTTTCTTGGCCACCCTGAAGGGAATTAAAGTGTATCAACAAAACTGAGGATTTTACTCCAATTCTCTAGAAACTTAACACATTGCAAGTACAGAAGGTGTAAAAGATTAAGACAGCAAGAGGCAGATACTGCCCTGTTCAATACCTTGCACATTGCAGTTTTTTGAATTTTATAAGATACACTTCAGTAAATTGCTCTGCTGGATATTCATCTAGAGCATGATATTCCTCAATGGCACCATATAATGCAAACTGTTCAACTAATTCCTTCATAACACCTAATGCAGGAACTCCTTGTATCAGTAAATAGCGAGATTCCAAATTGATAGTGTAAACCTGAAAAAAACAAAAAACAAAGACTATTCAAAAACACTCCAATTCTTGCTTTATTGCAAAAGGCAGGCCTTTTTTCTCTGTTTTCTGGTTGTTGTCCAAATCCTCTCAGAATGCTGAAAACCGCTATGTACTCTCTTTTGTAGGGCAGTAAGTGTGTGGTTATTTGGGACCTCTTCAAGTCACTGAGCAAGAGCTGAACTGAAGCCTCTCATGCATAGTAAGACACAAATGAGACCTAACTTTTCTGCACAGAGTATTACTGCCAGTTGTTGAGTAAAATAACTTAAGTCTCTGGCCAACTTCCACACAAGATACACTCTAGTGACCAGTTCATAGAAGCTACTGTCAAAATACAGAGAAAAACATTGAAAAAACAGTCTTCTTTATAGGCAAAGGAGTTGAGCAGGTGAAGAAAACTGGTTTTTTCCACATAGGGAGTTAAAAAACAATTACCACAACTCCCTGGGGCAAATCATGTGTGTGCAGAGCAGTCTCTTTGCCAGGGTGATCCAACAGCCTACATTTTTAGGACACACAGATAAAATCTGGATGCTGAGAGAAACATGGTCTTCTCCCAGAAGGTTAAAAACCAAATCAAGCATTCTCTTCTGCTTTGTGTAGTGACTGTCACATAACAGACTTTAAGCAAAGCTTTTTGATGGCTCACTATGTACAACAGGCAGCTAAGCAGCTCATCCCTGGCATCAAAGAGAATTTATTCTGAGTTTGATTAAAAAAAACCCAACCAAAACACAAACATTTAGACTACAAAGGTTACACATATTTCTCAAAAAACAATATTCCGGACAAAGTGGGAACTGCTTGAGAAATCAACTCTCAAAACTTCCACTAAAAGCAGTCTCCACAGGCAGGTCACCTAAGTTTTCTTGCAGCAGCAGCAGCACACTCCCACCTACATTCTTTTGGGAAGAAGGGATTGAAGGAATCTGATGCTTCCACTATGCAATTTTGGGGTTTTTTTTTTGGCTGTTTTGTCCTTCTACCTCTTTCTTGTCCAGGAAAAAGATTGAAATGTTTTTTCCACACTTGGGACATCCATACTGTTTCTCCTGTGTGTATCCTCCAGTGCCTAGTGATGTCTGGATGCCTGTAATGACCAGAGCTCTGTGGATGCACAAGGTTCTCTGTCTGCTGCCCCACCACATACACTTGAAAGAACATAAGAACTTAATAGCTTTGAGACTTCATGAAATATGGAGGGCTTTGAGATTTTACAGGAAGGTGGTGATAGTGAAAGTGATGGGTCTTATGTGTGTGGGTATGGAGTAACCATTGCTCCGGCATTGGTGAGACCACACCTCCAATCCTGGGGTCAGTTCAGGGCCTCTATTTACAATACACTGAGGTGCTGAAGTCAGAGAAGAGCAACAGATCTGGTGAAGAGTCTGGATCAAAAGTCAGATGAGGGGCAGCCCGGCGAGCTGGCGGGGGGAGGTTATCAACCTAGAAAAAAGGTGGTTTGGGGAGATCTTATCGCTTTCTGCAACTCCCTGACAAGAGAATGGAAATGGCTGTGGGTTGAACTTCATGATCTTAAAGCTCTTTTCCAACCTTACCAGTTCCTTTCTCACGCCAGCACTTTAAAGTGTCGCTGCAGCTCGTTGTACACTGAACGCACACAGAGATACCCAAATCTCACAGTTATGCTGCAGTAAAGAGAAGCTCCTAACGCGCAGCCGGCGAGGGCCAGGGCCTCCCTCCTCTCCCTCCGGGAGCCACGGAACTCCAGCGCAGGCCCGGCCGCCCCCCCCAGCCCCCTCATCCGAAGCGGCTCCGCCCGGCACCGTCCCCCTCCCCGGCACCTTCACGGCGCGCGGCC